TCTAGCTATTCGATCAAGGGTCCAAAATGAACCGATTAGAAAAATTATATATAGTATACGATCTTTGTTGTAAGGTTTAAAGACTTTTTTACCGTGCATCGTTACGCGTTTCAACAGTTCTTCTCAGATGGACAATTATATTCTTTCAAAAATAAACGTGTTGAAAAATGATATAATTTTCAGATTTGGAATCTCGCGAAGCGATATACATATCGCATGAATATTTATTCGTTTATACACGTGTTTTTGTTCGTTTGTTTGTCTGTTTATTTCGTTAATTTATCTATTTTATTTTCACGTTATCCACATTACGTTTCAATTCAATAAGATCGTTTCTTCTAGAATATTCGATATTTCCTTCTTTCCTTCCTTCCTTCCTTCCTTCCTTTCTTTCTTTATATCTCTTTTTTTTGTTTCTTCTTCTTACTTCTTTTCTCGTTTCGTTACAACCGTGTTGCAACGCAAACCGAACCGCAGTCATGACAAAGGACCAACTTAGTTCAGCCTAGTCAAAGCTACCAAACAAATTTCCATTATCGCGTATTTCCTATACTTATATACCTTTACGAAGGAACAACTATTTGTGTGTACGTGAGTATGTGAGTATGCGTGAGTGACAAGACATGTAAGAAAATATTGCAAATAAAATAATATTTTCATTTAACATTTCGATTGTGTTATCTCTCGCGATCGATGAGGGGAAAGAATCGAATCGGAGTTAAACGGTAACACGATCCGTCAAATTTTTTCCATTCTTGTTGATCATCCATTGCTTCTCAGATTGACTTTTTACGCATATATTTCTTCGATCCTATTTTTTTTTTTTTTTATTCTTATCTGTGATTACTCTTATTATTATACATATTATTATACTCGATTTATTCTTGCGCTCTTTTTTTAGTGGTCTCTAGTAGAATGATTTACTTTTAACGCGTGTCGATCCACGATTACACAATTCGATCGTCAGACACGAACTTACTCGAGATTATTTTTGACTTTCCGTTGAATGGAAACTCGTCCATTGCGGCCCTTTAGAAATTTATTATTAGTGTATACCTGATAGATGTTTATCAACCTTCCCCCTTATACGGGGGGATCCAATTCAACGCGATCGTGTGCAGCGTTGCAACGATTTAAAAACTGCTGTATTTTTGTTCTATTAATAATCCGTTCGTTAATAATCACTGTAAAAAAAAAAAAAAAAAAAAAAAAAAATATTTAATCAGATGCATTCGCGGAAACCGGCATTCTTACGACCGGTAATTTCGGCTTCAAACTCGCGGTTCAAACTGGCGTTTAACGAACCAGATGTCGAAATGTTTTCCAGAAATAACGAAAGCCAGCTCCAGAGAAAATAGCATCGATCGTTGTTTTATGATTATGTTATCTCGAACCATATGGATCGATCGTCTTTCTTTCTTTCTTTCGATTCTCCTTATTCTCATCCACGATTCGAGGATGAAAAATGCAAGAATATATCGGACGTGAAAATACAAGTACGAAAAATGTAACGCCATTTTGACGATTTGTATGAAAAAAAATTTTTTTTTTTGCTATAAAATAAGTATCGATCATCCTCGCCGAGTTTAAATCATAACGCTTCTTTTTTCTTTTTCTCTCTCTCTCTCTCTTTCAAAGATTAAGACGGAATAAGAGCATTAAATCGAAAAACTCTCGCTCTATATGGAATATGGAAGCTCTATAGAAGAACGAGAGAAAGAGAGAGAGAGAATAAAAAAGTAAGAAGACATAATAGAATATTTCACATATAGGGCTGCTCGAGACAAACTATATAGAACCATATAGTGCGAAATAACATTTCTCTAACATGGATATTTGGAAACGGTTGGACTACATTGGAAACAGTTTATCGGAATTTTCATATCGCGATGTTCGATCGTTAATGAAAATGGCATGTGCGATCACCTTACCGCACGTGTATCGACTTGGTTGGAACTGGTGCTAGTTGTACCACGTATAGATCGTTGCGGATCTTTGTTGTGATATATATAAGCAAAAAGATAGCTCGGTCATGATAAACCCGCTTTATTCGTATTTATTCATTGGGAATATAGTGGCAAGAAAAAAAAAAAAGAACAAGCCGCAAAGTCACGGTATCGATGTTGGATGCGGTTTACAAGACGCGCCTTTCGAACACGTAGGAACACAAGTATACAACCCTCCAAGATAAAATTAGAATAAACCATGAACCTTTTTTCCGCTCGGCCGTAAGAGAGCTATAAAACGATCTAACTAAACCCCGACGTTCGAAACGTCGTCGTGTAATATATATATATATTTTCAAATTTCGTTTACTGAATAATTTTCAAAGAGACTAACCTATTACGAGAAACGTTCACGCAATTCATCGTTACTTGTAAGTAATCGTGTAACGAGTATCTTAAATGTACACGAGCACAAATTTTTAGACATGTGAACAATATTTATGATGGATACGATAAATACGAGCCGATAGTTCCATCTCTCTTTCGCCTAAAAATAAATCGTTGCGTAAAATTAAGGGCGTGACCGTTAGTGCATCATCGTCGTCGTCGTCGCCATCGTGAAAATTACATTTTCTAGGTGCCAATTGTTTTTTGGCTGGCTGCTACCTACTTACCTCTGAAATTTATCAAAGATATTTCTGATTTGCGACGGCTCGATTTCTTGCTCTTTCCCCCCCCTCCATGTTTCCACGTGACTGCTTCCACAACTTCGAGCAACTGTGTCGCCCCCACACCCGTCATATTCTCTTCGCCCTATTGGAGGGAATCGAATTTTCGTTTTTTCGTTCGGCGGACGGTGATTGGCGGTTCGCGCCCGAAAATATTCCACCCGGTTTGGATGTAAACGGCCAATCTCGATCGAACGCTCGTGCCAAAAAGTAAGCACGAAAATATATTCTGGTGTTGGCCGATTACGAGAATCGTGCATGTTCGTTTCTATTCGCGTGCCAATGGATCTTCTCGAGCCTGGAGGGATTTTGCCCTCGCCCTCGACCTCGCTGCGTGAACAAACTCGTTCATTCAATCGGAAAATCATGATCGGAGAAGAAAGAGCAAGAGATTATCGATAGACGAAGACCACACTCTCGTGGTCAAAGAGCTCGTCTATTAAGAACGCTCGGCAATAACTCGTCGAGAAAAATATTAAGGAGAGGATATTTAAACACAAAGAAGATACGAAGGTACCAATTGGCTCATCAGACGATTAACTGAGTTGGCCAACCTAATCTTCTCTTTAGCTATTTTTACGACGTTGCCGCTATTAATACATGCTCTATTATTGACATAACGTGGCATTGTTGAAGGAATTGCGATTTCCTTCGATGCATGACTCGAAAACATTCGATTGATTCGTTAATGGTAAACGTCAAAGTTTAACAAGGGAGGATGGTTCCTTGTTTGAAACATGAAAAAATTATTGCAAAAGAGAAAAATATATAAAAGCTAAATTTTTTAAATCCGATATTTCTTAAGATTGGAAAATTATTCTTTTTTTTTTATCGGATGATTTATAACAGATATCCTTTAATCCTTCGTTCTTAAACATTTTATCCAATTAAGATAGAAATGAAGTATACAAAAAAAAGAATAAATAAACGAACAATATAGAAAATAGTATCGAATATATATATTGTTCCAGGGCGGACTATTGGAAATCTCAGGGTCGTAAATTTTGTGATTTTTGCAAATGTTGGATCGCTGACAATAAACCTAGTATCGATTTTCACGAAGGTGGCAAGAAACACAAGGAAAATGTTAGCAAACGACTTAAAGAAATACATAAAAACAGCGCGAAGCAGGCGAAACAGAACAAAAAGATCGAAGATGACATTAAGAAAATGGAAAACGTACGTTCATCATATTTTCATTTAATTTTCATTTTTCAAATTTGCTAAATGATCTAAAATAATCTTTTTTTTTTTTTTCTTTTTATACCTATATATTTTTACATTTAGGCAGCTATGGCTGCGTATTTGAAGGACGTAGAAAACAATACAAGAGACATGACTGCCGATACGATCATTAAGGAAAAAATGAATCGAATTGAAACAAAAGACGTAGGTACTCAAAAATTTTCTATTTAATATTTGTATTTATAGAAACTTTAAAAAAAAAAAAGGAAAG